TGCGAGGTAGAAGTTGCTAAAAGTTCATGAGGAAGACTCTCAAAGAGCAGCACAAGCATGATGACTCTGGAGGCTCATGTAAGCAGAGACATTTTGCATTAAAAAGATAGATGTACAAGATGCTTTTACCAAAGTAGGTGTATCTAAACCAGATAAAAGAAGCCTACAGTTTTACCAAAATTCGCTTATTTTTCAATACAGAAAATTAATGAAAAACGACAGACTTTTGTAAAGAGACTCTTGATGAAGTGTGCTCAAAATCAGCTGAGGAGTTGAGAAAAGTCTCACAAAAATCAACAAAAAAAGAATCCGGAAGCCTTTACTGTCAACTGTAGAATCTAGGTGTATGGTTTAGGTGCTTATTGTGAACATGTACAATACTGCTGCTGGATTATGAAGAGTTTTTTTTTTTCCTTTTTGTCCATTTCATTCTGTATGTGTGGGTGTTTAACTGAGATCCTATGAAGGCTATGAACCCTCCCTATAATCAGCCTACTGTTAGTCATCCATACAAAGCACTGAGGAACAATATGGGAAACTGGAGGCTGTTAAAGGTTTCCAACCCACAGCAGTAATTACCTCCAACCTGATGAACAGCGAAGGCCGTCTGTGGGGGCGGCAGACTGCGGCAAAGCTTTTATCCAAAAGGCAAAATGGAGGTAATAATGGGATAATTGTTTTGGACGATGGCTGCCTCTCCCACAGCTACTTGCACAGTCCTGCTAACTTCTGCTGGCACCGAACGTGTCCGGCTTGGCAGTGGTGAGAGGGCGTCCAGGAGTGTCCGTGTTGGTGTGTGATTAGGTTTCCGCGGGCATTTGTCTTTAGAAGGAGTGTGGATCTTGCGGTTTAGAAGCGTGTGCGTGGACGAAAGGCAGCCAGTAACATCATGTTCTCTGAGAAAAGCAACAGAAATCAAGCTGGACAACGCAAATTAAATCAATCCTCCATCAGTCTATGCACCTGCATCTCTCAATCCCTGCCCCGCAGCACCGGACTCATGCTACCTCTCCTCTTAGTCATTGCTTCCTTTTGACTCCAGACATTAGGTTTCCATGGCTACGTCAATATTTAGTGGTCATGTTACGGCATAATGTGTTTACATAAGATGCAAAAAACCTATGCAGATCAAACTGGTCCATCTCTAGCATTTGTAGATACAGTACAAATATGCTATGTCGACTAGCCATAACTTTATGACCACCTGCCTAATATAAAGTGTGCTCTCTTTGTCCTGCCAAGAGAACTTTGGGCAGTCAAAGGGTGGTCAGACAACATCTGAAAGTGTCCTGGTGCGTTCTGTATTAGCAAAGGATCCTTTAAGCCTAAAGTATCAAACCCAGGGACTTCAGGGTGTGCTGTCCTGCAGGTTTTGTAGGTTTCCCTGCACCACCTGCAGACTTGCACAGAACTTTACAATCTTTTAAAGAGATGTAATGAATCTAAACAAAGCATGTTGAAGCAGGGTTACATCTAAAACCTGCTGGAACAGAGATAGACATCCCTGCTTTAAGCCCTCTGGGTGGTGAGAAAGCTCCTGTTGTACTGGACTTGCCTTCCACAGATGCTATCATATCCCATCAGATTGGCATCTGAAGAGTTTAGAGACCTTGGGCTCTTTGATATGCTGTTCAGCTCTTCACGAGCTGCTTCTGCAAAGCTAAGAGCTGTCTTTCTGTGGGAAGCAGCTCATTAGGGGAGTGGAGCTGTGGGGTCGGCAGTTGCTTTGCAGAAATGTTTAGCTAGGAATCAATGTTAAATCTACATAAATGTTAGGATGTTGCTTTTCCAAGCAGAACTATGCATTGTTTTACTCTGTGTTGCTCTCTTTGCCTGTCATCCATCACTACTTTGTCACAGCCGACGGTGTAGTTCCAGTGATCAAAACCTTAGTAAGTTGAATCTTTTCTATCCTTTGTTGATCTCAAAGCTTTCCGCAGATATCCTTTTAAAATAACACATCTTTCACCGCATCTATACTCACACACCTATTTAACGTGAGCTTCAATCTTATTGTGATAGCTCCTCAGTCAGTCGGTCTATGTCTTTTAGAGCACTTCAATTTCCCATAACAACCTTGCAAAGAGCTCTCGTGGTTCAACGTGCTCTTCGTGCAGGGAAATTCAGAGGCTTCTCGGCTGTATTTTAGCTTGTTAATGAGGTGGGAAGCGGTGGCTCCTCAGTTTTTCCGTGGAACAAAACAACTCCAGGGAATACACTTTAGCTCATGTCTGCTGGGAGTAATCAGAGGGACGGAGGGAGGGAGAAGCGTAAAAGACAGACAATAAGGGACAAATCAAGGACACTGTCCTCACTGTGGATCTTAGAGAAAAATAAAGGTAAAAGGGAGGGGGGCAGGGAGACTGGAAATGATGAAATGCTGACTTTGACTGAAGAGAACAATCTTTGGGTGATATAAACAAGAAAGAACAGAATTTTTTAGGTAACAAACACAGACTCGGCTCACAATGTCCCCTCTTTCTCATATTTTTCTGTGTTCCTTCTTAAAGGATCCCTCTGTTCACCAGAACAATCGTGGCTGAGTGCCTCGTGGTGAGCAGAAGCCTCAGCTCAATGTCATTTGCAAATAAAGCTGCACTGAAAGAGCAAAGAAGCAGTTTGGAATTATTTTGTTTCCTTTTCTTTAAAAAAAAGGGAGGGGGGGTGAAAGCAGCCCTGTGAGCTAAGATATGCAAAGAGCAAAAAGGAAAAAGAAAGACTTGGAAGCCAGATGCAGGGTGGTAAGCGGGAGCAAGGCGGTGAGGGAGCGCAGATTAGAGCGCATTTTACACTCTGATCTCTCCATCCATCAACACAATCTGCAAAGCTTTGAAGAGGGATGTGCGTGCGAGCATTTCATCAAGAAATGTTTGCTCTGCACAGAGCGGCATGCAGCTCTCTACGCTGTACGTGTGCGCGGCCGCAGAATCAGCTCTGCTGTCAGGAAAAGCAAACAGCTCAGCTGAGCACCCACAACCAAGAGCCACTGCGCAGAATCCCAGAGACTGAAACGTACTTCTGCCTGACAAAATGTGAGGTTTTGTATCAAGCCGGAGGAGACGAGGAGCGCTCGCTGTAGCATCTGACAAGTTACAGTCTAATAACATCTTTAGACACTCTCTTGCTTTTTGTGCTCTGCTATGACAGTGACTTAAATCCAGAAGTCACCAACAGACTCCAGCAAAGGATCAAGAGCCTTACTCTGTATGACGCGCTAATTATAACAGACTGCTAGTTGAGAAAGCACTGCTAGGGTAAGTGTCAGCATCGGGAGACATGAACACAATGCCTTATTGTCTGGAGTTATTAATATATGACAACTGAGATGAAATGAGAGCAGGGTGAAAGATTTGGGCATTAAGGAAAGGAGTCCCACAAGACTGCGCAACGACCTCTGTCGATCAGCTTTTTTGTTAAATGACCGTTGATAATAGTGTGGTTGCAACAGCTGTCATTTAAGTGTCTGCCCTTTCAGTACAGGAGCAGATAATACGACCAAAGGGCCAAGTCCAAGAAGTCCAGTCGCAGTTTAAGGCCACAACAGGTTCCTTTTCAGCCCCGTTTATGGATTGGCTGTGTTGTACTGGGTAAGATTCTACTACAATGTCATTGTAGTTATTAGAATTGTTTAATAATTGCTTGATCTCGAGCACTGTCCAGTGTGAAACGACGACTAATGATACTTAAGATAAGTCAAAGTTTATTTGCTGAAGTGGGGAAGGTAAGCCTAATCAGAGCCAAACATTCCATCTGAAACATTTTTAACAGCTTAATTACAGAAAATTAGGCTCGTCAGATTGCTGTGGCGCTACCTGACTGCCATCATGTGTGCTTGTGCAGCTCGTAAGCATCATTCATAGCTCACTATAGAACTATCCATTCCCAGTTTTTTCAGAAGTACTCACTTGAATGATTTTGGAGTGCCACGGCCTTCATAGCGTCTCAGGTAGACATCTGCATGCTAACATCACTCATGTGAGAATGCTACATTTGTTTAGCAGGTGAAGTATGTTTTTTAATTCAATGAAGTTTGTGTACACAACAAAAAGTGCCATTAATAAACTAAGTACCACCATAATTTTCACACAGATGTCAAGTGCCCAGAGGCTATAATAATTGTAATAATAATAACAGTCATTTGACACTATTTGGTGTATTTTAAACTGAACTAATTTCTCTATATATTGATTCATGACTTCTTTCACACTGCCAGTCAAACTTTTTCTGAATTCTAAATACTCCACATTTGTCCAATAATGTGAAGTCACCTTACTCATCTCGTGGCTTTTGGAGTACTGTAAAGGCCTGGATTCCTTCCTTACCTTGTCTGACTGATGTTTTGACATAGCTTCAGTCTGTCTCAGGCACGCAGACATTCAGTGCCTTTTTTAATGTTCACCCTTTAATTCTCTGTTCTCCTGTTTTGGAAAGTCCTTTCAGGCGGGATAACACTTGTCTATTACAAACAAGTATCTACACTTGAATATTTGCTCACCTATGCTTCTGCCCTCATTTTCTCTGTTTGATGTCTGTAGGTGTTGCTATGGAGGGATTTTCTCTTTGCTGCCATGACGACCCGACTTCTCTGAGCCCTCCCATCGTGGCGGAACACCATGACAGAAATAACTTTGGCTAGATGCTTGTGAAATGGTGATTCAGGGATTCGTAAAGACAGATAGCTGGAGTCACTGGTCCAAGTTGCTGCCAAGGAGGAGAGGGAGCTCATCTACAAACACGGCAGTGTGGCACCGACACAGACGTAAAAATTCAGCTTAAATGTGGTAAAAGTAAGGAGCTAAGCGCTTTTTAAGTACTCAACATAAAACCATTGTCGATTGTAATTACTGCGTTCTGCTTTTATACTATGGTAGAGGTGCGTGGAGCCAGCAGCAGACTGAGAAATTACTAAAAGCCTCAGCTCCCCAGAGCAAGAGCACACAAATATTTGTAGAAAGGGACACAGGAGAATTTTCAGTTGATCAATCACATCTGGCATGTAATCAGAGCTCATGCGATGATCTCATTTTTTTCAGGGTGACGAGCCACATTGAGACATCTTTCATGGCTCGAGTTCTTACTTTAAGTCTCTCGGACACCCCGTCGGTGAAGCTGATGGTGAACTCCTCCACCTTGGGGACCTTCAGCCGCTTCTTCTCTGTCTGGTACTCCGTGCGAGTTTTCACCACCACCTTGAGAGGAGGGAGAGCGGACGTTAGAGCGTTTGGATGACGGAAACTGCAGGAGGGCCCTGTCAAGTGAAGTTTATTAAGCCACCATTAGGTATCCTCACACATTGAATCAAGTGGGACAAATGGTAACCACATGACAATTTTTTAGCTCTCTATTTACCCAGAGATGCTGAGAAAGATGGAAATGTGAAACGATGCTGTCAGTCGGAAGTGTTTGTTTTCTGACGCCATCCTTGATGTAAAATAAATCCTTCAAAATGAAGGTGTTGTGATATGTGGGGTTTGAGGAGATGACAAAATGAGATCTGCTGAGGTACATGACAGCCATCTTTGACATGTAAAGAATTGCATTTGAGATACTGAACAGTTTTTTCATGTAACATAAATATGAGTAAATCCATATCAGTCATGGTGTGCCATTGAAAAAAATAAAGAAAAATTAGCAGGTGTCAGCAGCCCACCACACAGCAAAACATTCATGTCAGACATAGGTAAGTGGTACAGTTTTTTAATATGATCAGCTGGCTACTATTTAACAGCACTAGTGTAATTGTTGCATTTATCCTGTCTTGTACATAATGTTCAAACATTACAGGTCTATAATTTGTTATTCTTTTCAAGGGTAGTTGTCTGATTGGAATTGATGTAAGTTGTATTTGTTTTATATAGTATTATTTAGTATGAAGTGGATTTTCTTTTGTTTTGAAGTTTAGAGAAAGCACTTTTATTTTGAAGTCAAGAGGGTCTTGTTTGAGCTCTCGCGCGAGAAGCAATGGAGCCCTTGTTAAGGATTTTTGCTTAAGTTAAGGCTAAATACGTTAATGGGAAATTTTGAAGATTTGGGATAATTCCCCTTTTTCTTGCAGCATGCAGCCAACAAGTTTTCACGGTTAATTCGGAGAGACAAACAGAGCTTGGATTAAAATAGTTTCAATAAAACCACTTGAGTTTGCTTGTGCTTAGAGGGATTTATAACTAGCATGAAGTGAAAACTGTTTTCTATGTGACCAGCTACAAGAAAAACTGAAGAAATGAAAAGGCAGCCCCGTTCTGTCCCAGTACTGTCAGTCCTCCTCAGGCGAAAAAGGTTCAGAGCTGCAGTCGAACTGAAACTCCCAAACTGTTGTCACACTTACCTAACTTTTCTGTTCTGTTACGTAGTGGTAGTGGGAGGTGTAGGTTCGACCACTGTGACAGGGGGAAAGCAGATGGCATTTCCTGAATAATGTAGGAGCAACAGCTGACTTTCTCTGGAACAAGGTGTCCCTTTTTTTTTTTTTGTCATTAATAGCCGCATTTCTGGGTTTAACTTTCAAAACCTGAACACAGCAAAGGATTCAATGAGAACTTCCTTTCTTTTCACGGTTTTCTCATCTTTCGCAGAACTGATTTAAATGAGCGGGGCTGATTTTAAGGTCACCGGTTTTGTTTCGTCTGTGCTAAACTAAAGAGACTGAATGTCACAGTGGGTGTTTTTTTTAAATCAGTGTTATACTTGTGCACCTCAGAGGACAGGACAGGGAGAGGTGGATGGAAAGAAAAAGAATAAGAACAATATCTCGGTGTCCTTGAAGCTGATTGTGCTGTCTCTGAGCGGCTCACTGTCACTTTGAGACAAAGCCAGAAACTGCTGTGCACACAGACTGCTTCCACTGTCTGAACTGCAAAGCTTTCAGTTGGCTCCAGAAAGCTCCTTTATAGAAGGGGTAGATGAATAAAGTGGATTTGACTGGACTCCCAAAGCACAAACGCCTCACAGCTTCCAGTGCAGCAACATTAGACCCGAGGCCTAATATTCTATCATACCTAACGTTTCAATTTTCTCATTCTCGTATTCATTTCATAATATAAATGTCCAGAGCCACGAGGTTCAAATACAGCCAGGCTTACTTCATTGCTTTTTCCCAAATTCTAATCCTCAGTCCTTTGTTTCTTACTACCTAATGGAGTGTTCATCAATCAACTTGCCTCATTTACAAACCACTCTAGCTATCAGCAGTACCTTCCACGATTAGGCAGGTCCCAGTGCTCTGCAGAAAACCCTCATTTATGAGCAACGGTCTTACTTAACGATACTGGATGCATAAAACCACAAATGTAAGTAATGGTGTAATAAAGTTTCCAATTTTCTTGCTGTCTCACTTTATAGAAGCAGCATTTTATTTTCCCTGTTGCGACTTCCTCCGACAATCTGTTAGCGTGCAGAAGTGTGCGGCTCTAGTCTGTGGTGGATGGTGATGTCAGAGGGCGGCAGGAAGGAGACATCTCAAAGACAGATTTCAAAAGCCGATCAGATTTATAAACTGCTGTACAGACCATTAGTCTTATTGATGAACGGTTCTGAACACCCTGAAGTGGATTACCACAAAATTTGATAGTTCCCAGAAGACAGGAAGCGCCAAATCCCTTCCGCACATAACAAGCTACTCCTTCAAGTTCATTTCTTGGAAAGATTTGCAAGTTTAGAAGTCAGTTTTTGTGCAACAGAAACATTTTGCTGGCAGTATAAGCTGCATTTCTTCCTTATGTCGGAATTCCAACAAGATAAACTGGCACATTGAAGTAGTAGAAGGACATTGACTTTACTTAATGGAGATGCATTCAGTGGTTAAAGTGCATATCTGAGGCAACCTGTTAACCTTTGCCTAAGTCTATATACATATTTTTCAGAAAAATTCTATAAACATGTCACTGTACAATCCCATAGAAAGGGAAAGAAAGCATAACATTTCTTGAAAATTTGTCATATCCCTTCGTTTTGCAAGAAGTCATCCAAACAATTTTAGATTTCTGTTTATTATTCCATCTTCTTCTGAAATATTCTGTCAACCTGGTAGCAAGCTGTTACTTTGACGCGCTGTCTGAAGGAACTGTGAGACTTTATATAGCTCATACAGTGGATACAAACGCATGGTGAAAAGTCAGATCGTGTAGCATATGACAGACCATAATGCACTGCGCCAAAGGAAAGGGAAGAAAAACCCAAGCAGACATCTTTCTCTGTGACAAGGGAATGATCCGATTAGAGCCCAAAAGCGTTCCGTCATTATTATCATGACTGCACTATCCAGTCCTCCACGTGTAACTCAAAGCGATCAGTGGGGATTAGTCAGAGAAGGAGTGCTTCCAGACACCGAACTCTGAGCCACAGCTAGCTCTGCCCCCTGCGTGTTTCGCTCTGCACCTGTGCCATGTCGGATTATGGCTTCTTAGTTTTATGTCTACCTGTGATTACTGGATCATAATTTGTGATTTTATTGAGCTATTTCAACTCTGAATCAACTCGGTGCTATACGCTGACATGCACAGTAATGCCTGTGAGTTAGGGCTTTTCAGAAGGTAAAGGTCTTGGTTTATAGGCAGCAGGAACTGCAAAGCACTGGATAAACGAAAAGAGTTCAGTTTGAATGGTTTTGTCCTTTAGTGGGATGTGAAACAACTGATAATGCTGTTCTACTTAGTAAAAAATACATGGGGCATTATTTTTTATTATTATTTCCCAATAATAATTGAATGTCTGGCAGTAACATACCAGTGTGCAATTACTCGTTTTATATTTACCTACTTGTTGCTACATTTTATAGTATATTTCTATAAAAGGCCCGTCTGTTTTCATTTCTGTATAATAAATTAATGAACGCTACATGAAGAATTGCACCGTATAGTTTAGGAAAATAGCTCTTTGGAAGTCAAACTCAGCCTCTTTGTGACTCCCTGTCTCTGTATCACCAATTCACATATTTCTTTTTTTTGGTGGAGTGATATTCCCTGTAGAAAACCTGTCAGGGTTTCTTATTTCTGCACATTCTCTCCCAGTATGAGATTCCTCAAACCCACTATCACAATAATTGCTGTTTCATCTTTAATCCCCAGAGACTGAGCTGTGGGAGTGCAGGTCTTTGGTAACTTCCAATGTGGAAGGCAGTTGGAGATATGCTTTTTTCCCCTTTATTTTAAGATGTTTTATGCTCGTGTTTTTTCATGAATAAATCACTACATTTTACTTTTTATTCAGAGGGGAGAGAAGGGATGAATCCTTGTAGCTGTTGTATGACACAAGTTCGAACTGGATTGAGAGATGATTTAATCAAGATGATTAATGTTTAATCAGCTCCTCTTCTGGTGTCTGCATGTTTGATTGACTGTAATTACAGACAATCCTGTAGATGTTCAACACAAATAAATCTCGGTCTTGCTGCTGCTTTGCTTTGATAAGAGCTTGGCCTATATATTTTGGGAAGCTTTCATGCTGTGAATGGATTTGGCACCAGATGCGTGAATCCCTGTTAGTTATGCTTGATGTAATCTAAAGATGTTAAGGTTTTAAAGTTTTGTTTTAATAATGTTCTGTCTTTCTCAGTTGCAATTACAAAAAGACATGGAAACAAGCAGTAAATGCAACACTGGCCAATCATAATCTTTTAGTAGATAAAAGACTTCTTTCAATTCAAACCCTTTGGCCATTTCGTGATTTCAGTATTGTTTTAGTTTTATTTAACAGTCTTTTTCTTGTAGGGTTTAAACCATAGCTCATTTAGTCCATTATATTATTCGCTTAGGTGTTAATATGAAATACTGGTAATGTCTGCTTGAAAAAAATTATATTCAATACTATTTTGAAAAGCAACAACGGCTGAGGTCACACCTAAAAGCCTGAGAAGAGTCGGTCTCTCAGGATGGCATAATTGATCCTCTTTTAATCAAATCAGTAAGAACAACTATTCGCACTCCCACCAGAGATGTGAATAAGAGAAAAAAAAAAGAAATCTGAAAAGAAAAAAAAATCTGAGGAGGACACTGGCTTTAACTTTTGAAAAGTCATAGGTACACGACTCCTAGTTCCAATTTTTGTCTGAGAAATGATTGTAGCTATTGCTGTATTGTCAACTCTGGGTATAATAAATTGATCTATTAAACTATTTTCTGACATTTTACAGTCCAAGTTGTAAAATATAAATAGATCACTGAGTGTGTGAGGAGAAACTTGTTGGCGGTAAAAGACAATGATTCCTAGTCTGTGAAAGCTTTTGAAGGACATCTTGTGGGTTCAAACGTGTTCTTAGAGATATGACAAACAAAAAAATATCAGTGTGCCCTCTTTGAGGCAGTCTATTTGTATCTAATGCTTTTTTTTCTCAAAACTGCCAGAAATCCAATAATATTAGTGATCCTGCTGTGGCTGTGACACATTGCTGCCCAGGTGGAATAAAATTGAATACCTTTCGAAAGTTGTTGACTTTGTGGGCCTTAAAAGCAATGTGCTGTTTGTTTGCCTGTGTGCATGTGGGTGTGTGTGGGTGTGTAGGTGCACCTCTATAAACTTCAAGATAATGTCCCTGAAAATGTCTGTCACACAGTCGTCAGGTGGTATCAGGGCGAAAACAGCTGGGGTCGTGTTTGGAAAGCCACTCAGAGGAACACAGCTGATATGGGGTGCCAATACGATTATGAGAGCCAATCAGAGTACTTTAGCTTTGGAAAAGGAAAAAAAAAAAGACCAAAAACTGTCTCAGATCAGATCAGAAGCAGAAGATCAGAAAGACAGACCAAAAGATGACTAATGCGGAACGCTTCCTAAGGGAGGTTCTAGATAATCAGATTAAGGGAAAAATACATTTTAATCCCACAGATTTTTATCAGAGATAGTAGTTTCAGAGGGTTTTCCTGAAATAAAAAAAACTTTTGGAAAAAGAAAAAAGAAATACTTTTTAACTAAAATTAAATAATGTTTGCAAGACCTCCTTCTGTTTACTTTTTTTATTCAAATTCAAAATCTGACTTTGTTTGAAAACATAGTATTTTTTACTTTTAGATAGTGGTGTGAAATTAATGAATTAAGTCATTATCCACCTGAAAAGATTCCAAATTCCAAAATATTCCCTAAAATCAGCTAAGACTAATGACTAAGTGCATGCAAAGGAACATGTTTGAATTTAACCAAGTCAATCAACAAAAGGGTCTAATGACAATAAAACATTCAAATAATCAAGAATCTTTGCCTGCTTAAGACAGTTTATGTCTTTTCAATCTATAATTTGACCTTTTTTAATAAAATGTGATATTTCTCTAATCAAATGCTCATCTAGTTAGAAAACTAGGTGCAAAATGAAGACAGTGTTTGGAACAGAGAGCTGTGCCTGGGCTGTAGGTTCTTCTTTTGGCTTACTAAGCCATCAGCAGCCTTTCAACTTTGCCTAATTACACTTTGTTTGTTGTCGTTTTTTTGTTTCGTTTTTGTTATTTATCCTATGCTGCATTTATGGATGAGCTATCAGGAAAAATTCTCACCTTTACAACACTGGACAACTCAAACTTTTGGCAGCAAATTGCCTTTTCCAACCTCCTGTGGTGCCCTCCGCAAGAAACTACATGGAAGTGGACCTGAATGCACATCTGTATGCAGCAGCTGAACTTAAAATTTTTCAGTCTTGGGAGGAGAAGCATACAAAACATGCATCAGCTGTCAGGGAGTTTATTCAAAAGCACTAAGCATCAGCCATCTTTGTGAATATGCCTTATGAGGCATTGTGAAATATCGCAGCTAGTTAGGGAAATACCTAGCTATTGTCTCACCTTTCTTTTTTAAATATTTTTTTACAATAATCATTCAATGAATGTCTATTTTTGGTCGGGTTCTCCACTGATGCCCAGTGAGTCAGTCACACGGTACAGTCAAATACTGACATGCATGTGAGCAGTTTGAGTCGTGTAATCACTCACAATGGCTGATACAGTGTGTAACAATGTTTTTTAATCTAGTGGGACTAATTTAATCAGCCTGGAATGACTGACAGCGCTGCTTGTGTCGTGTTACAAAGTGCTGGCTGCCAGTAACCGGCTTAATTGACATGTCACTCACAGACACACGCAGGTGCATTGATGAATACGCTCGCCTCCACTCTACATACATACACGCATGTTCACTATATCATTATTAATGAAAACAGAGGTATGTGTGTGTGTGTGTCTGTACAGTGCACGGCATGTCATTTAACAGGTATGTGGAACGGAAAGAGACTGTGACCTCATTGGAATCCACATGTGGGTTCCGGCTGTGCTGTAATGTTCTGCCTATAGCTGTTCTAATGGATGCTTCTTCCTGGATTATCCTCAAAATAGAGTGACTTAAATAGACTAAGGAGAAAAATTAAACATTAAAACTAGATGAATGAGAAGAAGCGAGCCAGGAAAAGAAGTCGGCACCAGATGGGTGTAAAAGACGGTTGAAGCAAAGGGCTAGGAGACAGCAGAAGTACCTTTCCCAGTAGTTAAGCTTAAACCTAAGGTGATCAGATGGATATCCATAGTCAAAAGCCAACTATGGGAGCTCTATGTCAAAGAAGCAGCTCACTGCTAAGAGATCTACACAGCTCTGGTTTGAGAGCTCGCCTAAAGTCTTCACTTTCAGGCCTCCAGTGCCACAGGAAACCGAGCCAAGAATTGAATCTGCTTCCAGCTCACTCTCTCCACTTCTAGCCAGAGGCCTTTTAATGCAGTTGAAAGCTGTAGAAAGTACACCTTTAACTGAGGTTCTGTTAGAGGAACGCCCAGTATAGCGTAAACAGAGTAACAGTAAACAGTCCACAGGGAAAAAAGTCAGCACCCAAGCTGAATATGCTTTGCAGAGTGAAAAAATCAATGTAAAATTCTGAGAAAAAGAAATCCAAAAATGCTGGAGTGGGAGAGCTTATGCCCCACCATCTATAAACTTTCACTAATGAATCTAATGGATGCTTTAGGGGCAGCAGTACGAACCTTTGTGTGCATTTGGCAAAATTGTTACCGTAGCAGCAACTTTGTCCTTTCTGACACATTCAGCAGTTCTGAAACAACGAGCATCATCACTGGGTGTCATGCTGCTGCCCATCTGGCAAAGCCGCGCAAACACTCACTCGAACAGATTTTTTCCTACCAAGGGAGACACAATTACATCCAAAAGTTGATCAACTCCTGGTGAAAATCTGGGTTTCTTTCCAATGAGCGGCCATTGGGCGATTGGCTCTTTACTGTGCGGCCTCTCCGGTGGCTCAGAGTGGACATCTGTCCAGCTGAAGGACTGACGCCGAATCCCCTATCAACTTTCAAACTATCTGTCAAACTTCCTAAACACTGAAAATGTGATTGGGATTAAATGTATTATTTGACTAAATGGCCAAAAAGATCATTTGTGTTCATAAGCATAGATAATAATGTTTGTTTCACATTTTGCCACAACCAGGCAGAAGGGCTCCTCTCTTTCTGCACAGGGTTCCTGATCATCATTACCTTTCTTGTGTTTATGCTAATTAAAGTCCTCTGCAGTCATCCACTGAAATGCCGCCAATATTGCCTTAAGGAAAGACCAGAACTGAGGCCTCGGCTGCTAAACGTTTTAATGAGGACACAGGAAAGGCTCTCCTGAGATGACTCTCCCATGAACCCTGGAACCACACAGTCTTTCTTATGAAATCATTCTGCACTCAAACAGGGCTTTGGATGAGCCTGTAGCAATCACACAAGCTGTTAACTGTTGTGAAATGTTCGGAAACTTTACCAGAACAGCTGCTGTTAACATGCTTTGTTTTGTTTGTTTTTTGGATAACGCCACAAACTTAAGTGACACTGCCTCCCAAAAACACTTAGCTATTTCCTTAAACGCATTCAGTTGAGTGCTCACCAACCAAGTCATTTCCAGAAAGATACTAAACTGTCATGGCCCAGATATGACCGTGAACAAGCTCTGATGAACAAGCTATAGTCTGAGACCTGATAAATAGATTGAAAACTTTCACTGGGTGCTCCATTCCTGTTTTCTTTCTAAGATTTTACACAAGGAAAAGGAAACAGCTATAAAATGACGTCAACAAGGTTCTGGCTTTAACTTTTCTGCTCTACTTGGCAGCTTAGATGACCAGTTGATGGTAAGCCGCATCAAACTGACCAGAACAGAACAGAACGGCCAGCTGAAAGTTATGAAGCCAGCTTCAGGCTCCTTTGCATCACTCAAAACAAATCTGGGTCCTTTTTAAAACTGGCGGTCCTGAGAGGCAAACCACAGTTGAACTTAGGGGGAGCTTATCTCCTTTTGTGGTTCTTCTGAAACTCCGAGTTTAAAAAAACGGTCTGAGATGAGTGAGAAATGACGATCCATCAGCTGCTGTGGCTCTGAACTGGAACCGAACGCGGCGACAGATTTGACGCGCGCGGCTTTGGATGAGCCCGAAGCCACGACGAGCTTTTCCTCTTTGCCTCACTCCATTCGTTTTAATAATGTGCAATCAGTGCGGCTCTCTGTCCCAGCCCCACAGATACACCCAGCCGCTCCGCTCCGCTCCGCTCCGCTCCGCCGCCATGGTAACTGGATTAACGAGTGCCAGCGCAGATACTATGGGATGTCAAGATGATAAATGACAGTCTGTCTGGCACCAAATCTGTCTCCTAATCTCAGCTGGAAAACAAAGGACATGGCTGGGAGACAGCTGAGATGAATGAATGTGTGAGTGAATGGAATATCGTCTGTGTGTGTGTGTGTGTGTGTGTGTGTGAGAGAGAGAGAGAGAGAGAGAGAGAGAGAGAGAGAGAGAGAGAGAGAGTGTGTGTCTGTGTGCGAATTAAAAGTGTGAATTCAAAAATCAGGAGGGTGGCATTCAGCATAAGAGGGCTTAAGGATGGTATGGATCAACAACACCGAATAAACAGCAGCAGAAGGAGATTTAGAAAAAGCAGACCGATGCACAAAGATGCACTGTGTGTGTATGGTGTGTGTCTAACACACACACACACAAAAGCACACGCAGACACACAATGGGGGGGGGTCTCTCACCTTGTCAGGTGCTTGGCTCTGCAGGCTGCCAACATCCAGTGGAGTGATGAGGGGCACGTTTTGAAAGCCGTCCTCCACGCTCACGGGTTTGGCCCCTTTGTCTTGAAGGTTGCCCCCCAGTTTCACCATCTTCAACCGTGTGTGTCACTTTTATTTCCCCTAAAACTGTGGGTGTTTTTTTTTGTTTTTTTATAAATAAAAAAAGGACATGTTCAAGCCTTTAGGGTTATGAATGAAACCTTACAGACAAAAGCTATTTATTCAGGACAGGAAAAAGACAAAGGAATTAAACGGAATATACTTTTCGAACATTGTCACAAATAGTTTTTTTTTTCGCAGTCGAGACGTATAGAAATTTCCAATTAGCGTTAGTTCTAGAAGGAAAATTAATCTCAAATTCAACACGGGCGTACTGCCAAAAAAATAAATAAAAACTAACCCGTTAGACGGCGTGTTGGGAAAGCTTTTAAAAGCTTATTACTTACGGTTTGGTCGTCGTTGTCCGCCCGCTGCGGCAGTGAGGACCCCGGAGGAGAGGCGGAGGGAGAGCGGGTGAGGAGCCGGGGGCTAATGGTGCTGAGGCTGCGGAGGCTTCCGGGGCTACTGAGGCTGGCTGCTGCTGAGGCTGCGGGCGAACGGCGCTTAACCAGCCGCGGACAGAGTCGACGTCTGGCGGAACGTTTCTCACCGGCAGGGCAGCCCAACCCCCTAATCCCGAACACAGCCGACGTCGTCACCCGCGCTGCCGCTAGGGGGATATCTGCGCGTGCCCCCCCCCCCCCTCTCGCAACGACCCCGTCAGGACTCGCGTTAATTTGGTTTAAAAGTGCTGCCTTTCGCGGAAGCTCGTAAACTCCACACTCTTCCGGGGAGAACGTGGACTTTAGCGGTGGACGTAACGTAGCGTTCCCTCTCTGATTCTCAATTCAGTCAGGTTTTAGCAGTCATATGAGGCAACCTTTTTTTTTACATACAAAAGTGACCTTAATCCCCCAAATATCACGTCCCGATGCACAAGAAAACCACAAAGCGATCCCAGAAATAAAGTTGAAATAAAAAAATTCCCGTAGACCATAAATGCAACCCAAAGCTTTCAAATTTGGACCCTCGCATCCTCTTGCTGTGGTCCAATGGCGCCACCTGGCGGTGTGAGTCATGCACCTACACACAAACAAAGAGGTCACACCAGGTGATTTAAAGCCAAAGGGTGTAAATATAAAAAAAAGTCATTCAGTTGCTAATCTAAACGATTTCAAACCTAAATGCAGCTGCCTGTAGACGAGAACGGTTCACAAATGGTTTAAATTGATAACGGGCTGATCAAAGGTTGAAATAATACAAATAAATCAAAAACCAATTGTAACACCGTCAAACATTTAAAAAGATATTTGCTAACACAGACTGACATGAAATGAGTCCAAATCACACCAAATTAGAGAGACTTCATTTCCATCTGTCCACCTGCTGAGTCAGACACACACACAGCCTTTACAGAAAACTGAGAACACTGGCTGTATCACCGCTTCATCGCTGTCAATTTAAGGGCAATGCTATGATGTCATGCTGTAAAATCAGAGGTTAAAAAAAAAAAAGTCTGACAACAGCGGTGTTGTAATGCAATGTGGGAAATGTATGCAAGGCTTTCCCAACATTTTACATCAGCTGTTACAAAACCACTTCACCATCTCCCACTTTAAAGATCTTTTACTGTAAGCTCATAAAATGCACACAAAACGAACTCTTCTTGTGTGTATCTCTCCAGATGTAGTCTGTAGAGCTAATTGTGTCTGTGAATATGTTCAGCTTTCCGCACTAAGCTATGTATAGTTATATTATATTATGTATCCAGCTGGTGGTGGTACTGAGTTGCTGGTCAGCTAGAAGGAACCATAATCATCCATTCACCACCAGGCTGATAGATACACCGTTTTCTGACACTCTCAGACTGACCAAGTGAATGTATTCTGGCTCAAACATTCAAAAAGGCCAAACAAAAATGATCAGAGATACTGAAATTATTGGGAAAAAAAACTTTTTTGCAGTTTTGATCTGATGCTGCATTCAAGCAAGCAAAGATCAAGAAGTTTAAAACTTAAACTAACTGACCAGATGACCAAAGACAGAAGGGCAGTCAAGCTCAGTAACATTAGCAATGGTAACTTGGCAGTGGCGTACAAACTGAGTTTAAATCAATAACTGAGGTCAAACGGCTAAACAAATTAAAGTTAGCGTTTGACATTTAAAAAAAAGAAAATAATCCTGCTCAGATAGACAAAAAAGCAACGCTGAAAGATGAGGGATCGCCCAGTCGACCAACATCCAACTCATCCAACTTCACCTTAATTATTACGCTCACACACATCTCTTTCTTCCCCTTTAACTAGCCCATTTTTATGGATCAAAAAGGAGTGTAAATGTCAGATTAAAGTTAAAGTCTGACAAGAAGAACAAAAAAAAAAAGCGAGTGTGAGTGAACATGTGACAGCACCCAGCGGTGCGGCCAGATGTGGACGGCGAAGTCACTTTCAACCACAGAGGGCAGCGAAACTGCATCCGCCTGTTGCTAGGCTACCATTAAAGAGAGACACTGCCACACAGAGGCCAGTTTAAGTCGGTGTTATGAGGAAAACGAGGCAAAATGGGAGGACGGGCCCAGATGTGAAAGTACCAGCAACCATGTACTTAAATGTCTAACCTGGAACATAAATAAGCAGACCACACACACACATACTTTCATCACAGTTAAGATTTATTTCATTCAACATTTCACATTACAAATATTTAAAAATTATGCATACTGTTATAAATAGTTGGCTGCAAACAATTAAATAACAGATTTTTCTTTTCGTTTCACTAGCACTTCTACAGACCAACTCCTAGAAATATGGACATATCCGTATTACATAACTTAATTAGAAAGGAAAATACAAAAATAGGAACTTATAAAGTGAAATGACAATAAAAATTAAGGTGATATCTTAAGTAAAAAAATGCTATTAATAAATACAACAACCTTCCCATACACAGTTAAAAACTATTGAAATCTTGCCATTAAGTAACATCATTAACAGACAAATATTTAAATATTTATTTTCCTTCAGAAAATGTGAACCATATATTGTGGAGCACAATATAGCAATTAGTAAAAACTAGACACTTTAACATATTAAAAGCTTCACCTCAAAAATATAACAAAAATCTGATCAAAATTATAAAAATCAATTATACATTCCAATTAAAAATATACCAATAAACAGCTAAATACATTGTTGACCTAATAATTACAATGCAATCAATCACAGTAGCTTAAAATAAACAAAAATAAGCAAATGAGCACAAAAAACTTTAAATGTTTTAAAAATAACTTCAATTATTTATATTAGTACAAATAGTTTGATTTCTTTTCTTTTTTACAAACACCAGCATGAAAAGGATTACAATAACAGTAGAAAATGACTGTGAAAAACATATTAACATCTTCTTTAATTAAATGTCTGCAATTAAAAATGGCATTAAAGAATTACATTGCAAAGAGTCTTTATCTGGAAAAAGGTTCAAAAGAAGTATTGCACATAACAACTTGAAGTTAACTTGCAACATTTACCACATTCAAGTCTTTAAGCTCCCCTTCCTCCAGATAGCTCTATATAAGATCTCCTCAACAGACAGCGGGGATGAGTTCTCAAGTCTTTTAAACAGTGTTCTATACGGATGCTCAAAGTCCTGCACTGTCAGATCAGTTTAAAGTCATGTATTCTTTCGTTTTTTCTCATCTTTTTGAATAGCTCTCCGTCATGTGCATCCTGCAGAGGTCTGCGAATGGGGAAGCGAGGATCAACACGAGGGGGAGGGACGAGGGGAGGAGGGTGAGCTGAGGTGAGAGTGGGTTCGGGGTGTCCTTAACTTAATAGTTGAGAAACATTTGGTGCACACCACAACAATTAATTTCAATAGCTAATTCATGTACTTGTCATTTTTCTCTTTTTTTGTCATGCATGCTAAGGATTACAATAGGTGCTAGTTGGCAAGTTCAAGAATATATATATATGTATATATATTTTTTTCAAATATTAAAATATCTAAACACCAAACATCCATTCTTGTGATACGAGATTCGGCGTTTAGCCTGAACCGGATTTTTGCATTCTCCTCTTAATAAATTATGCTCCATCTATGGAGAGGAAACCAAGACAGAAGTTACCATTTCCAACTAGTATAGCCAAGTTTAGAGACATCAACATCAATTTCAAATTACACGTTTTTTTTCTCCTTATTTTTTTTGTCTTTTTTTCTTTTCTCGACATGCTGTTACTGACCAGATTGACTGGAAACATCTAATGTAGGAAAAGCTAAGACCAAGAGAGCGATACACTTTGGTCTCTTCTCTGCAGATCTGAAGTCGCATCAACACAAGTGCGCACTTAGTTGTAAAGATTCCTCAGCACTGAAATGTATAAAAAGCATAATTGAAAATAATATATATTGAAATCACTCAACTTTTTTTTTTTCTTAAAATGAACATTTCCATATATGCAGATCTCTCAGTAACAAAAGTACAAAAGCTACCTTTCACAATGTGAAAAATTGAGGTATTGCAAAAAGGAGTTTCCCCATTTGTGAAAAATGTGCCTAAAATGACTGTTGGAAAAAGAAAAAATATTTAGAAAAGTAGTGCATAATAAATGTTTATATGTGCATGACAAAATAATTTAGCTAGAAAACACTGTACCAAAAATCAGCAGGCCATGTATAAAATAATCTTTTTTTTTTTCATCTCATTTAACAGCAAATTCTTCACAAAGTGTTTTAACTTCTAAAATGCTCACCCACCACACCCACAAAACTAATGTCCAGGGTGCAAAACTGGTGCAAGGACACCACGCCGATATGAGGATTCTCACTAGTGTGTGTATTATCAAGTTTTCTGTACTAACTCCCTGACGGTTAAATGCTCGGCTAGAAGGTTACCGCTGAGTGACCTAAAAAAACGTTGTCTGTCGGAACAAAAAACGTGAGGGTTCCCCTCCTTTCGCCTTCGCTGTGGAAATGTGCTTGTCGTGCTCGTTTTTTTCCCCAAAAACGTGCGGAGCCGTGCAGTGTAAGAGCGGCTCCGGCCTGACAGCAACGCCTCAGCTCTGAGCTCTGCGAGGCCTCGTTTGTGTTTCCACAGAAGTTCTGATGGTTTTAAATGCACGCCGTGTATACACATATATAGACACGTGTGTGTATATACACACACACACACACACTTATACATATATACACACACACACACACATATATATGTATATACACACATCGTGCTCAAGGCCAATCTTTGGTTTGCTGGACTCCATCAGGGCTCGACACTTTAAGCAAAACTGGGTAGAAAGTGACAGATTTATGCGACTATATGAAACACGTCCTTGAAGAGATGAGAGAAAAACGGAAAAGATCTGGACAAGAAACAAGCTACAGCGTGGCCCACTACTGCACAGCCGTCTTTGGTTTCCCATGAGGCCACCGGGCACAGCTGGATGGACCTGCGATCTCGGGATCGAAACTGCATGTTTAGGGGGGGGGCACGTGCGCAGTAGTAGAGCACACTGCGGGGGGACTATCTTCATTTATGCTTCAAAAACACTGGATGCTGAGTTTTGGGGGGTTTTTTTGTTTGTTTTTTCGCCCGGCGGCACAAAAGACGGAGAGGTTCGCCGAAAAAAGGGCGGAATCCCTCCCCGAATAGAGTCTGCGGCCGGGCGATTTTTTTCGCCAAGCAGATGGAACCGGGTGGCTTCTCTCGTTAAATGCGGCTCCACTCTAGAGAGGCGAAGAGGCACCTCTCGTAACGGACTCGGGAGAATTGCACAAATGCATTTTAAGAAAAAAAAATTAAGCAAAGACGGGCGTTTTCCCCGTTTCGATGGTCTTCCCCCCCCATCCCCTGACCCACACACCCGCCCATTTAAACTGCAAGAAAAAGGCGCCCACTTGACCGGCCTTTCTCTCGAGGAGTTACTCTAACCTCACGTCTGGATCCAAGACCCCGCTGTGAGCACACACAAAAGAGTTGAAAAGAAAAACAAAAAGGGGGGTTTTGATCCATGAATGAGGCCACACGCAGACATGGGGAGGAGGGGGGGGGGGGGGGGGAGAGGGCCGGGTTTATCTCTTTGCTCGTCTCTCCCGTAGCCTCCCTACGCCGTACATTCCCGTAGCACACTGTATACTGTCCGACGCCTTATCCCTCGCACAACCCTGGGTTCGATTACAAAAATAAGGAGGTGATGAAGCAAGTGAGTACAAAAACTGTGCCAGTTACATCGCCCTCGGCCTGTTGCGTCACTTCCCCCCCGATTTAAAGTTCCGGGGGAAAGGGGAACACCGCAGAGTAGTGATGTTTTTCTTCCTTGCTTTCTTTCTTTTTTTTTTTTTTTTTACTGTGTTCGGCACATTAGCAGCTGAGTTTGAGGTATTAGTTTTTTTGCATGTCAAAATGGAGATCAAAACCCAAATGTGTGTTGCTCAATTTTCCCGTGAATTTCAAGTAACATCAAAGTATTTGTACGGTCTTGGAAATCATAAAAGAGAGGGTCAGGCATTTCTGATGTGGGAAGGGTGGGGTGAGGGG